CGTCTGGATGAACAGAGCTGCTTATAATATTAACTTTAAGTTGATAGATAAATGTGCATTAAGGAGTTTTACTCGGTATTGAACTGCAGGTGTTTAAAAAAATCATCCAAAATGTTCTTAAAGACAAACCAAGTGTGCGCATCCTTGCCCACGAGCTCTCCACTTAACCTCTCCACTCACAGCGTACTCACATCCTTCGGGAAGTCCAAGTAAAGGAAAAGAGTGGCTATCAGGCAGGCGGCCACGACCACGTTCTGCACGGCGACCACCACCGCGAGTGTCCCTGTGCGCTTTCTCCGGTGGATCACACGACCTCTCTCAGCATCCATCATCCCCTGTTCCATCAGTGCTCTGAGCTCCCTGCAGGAGCTCAGCGAGGCTTTAAACGCGAGTGGGCAAGTGCAAAGGAGGAGAGTGACTGGAAGGAAATCGCTCACGGTCTTAACTTTATTGTGTCTGAGATCGTGTGGGTGGGGGGGTTGCAGCGCGCTCGTGCCATGTACACGCTGGGGATAGACGCACACGCGCACACGCTCACAAAGTGAGAGAGAAGCAGGAGCGAAACCAGCGCACCGTGAGCTGATTGGCTGTCAGTGTGCCGATTTGCGCCAAGACGCTTGCGATCTTCTAACACAAAACGAGCCGAGTGAATCCTCCCACATTGTGTGCGCTTCAATCAATGTTCCCATAATATTCATCAGGGGGTTCTGAGAGATTTGAGCATGCTGAGGAAGAAAGAAAAAACATTGTTTCTGGGAAACGAGTGATGCAGTAATCTGGTGTCAGTGATAACACACCTGATTAAACTAAATAAAGTAAAAAGATATTTTATTCAGCGTCTGTTTCGGGTCTCCCAGACTTAACTAATGAGCAGAGAAATGATAGAAACGGCTGCTGCCACCTCTCAGTTCACTTTAAATCTAGTTTATTGCTCTACATGTGAGCAGACAATGGATGATGAAGCTAACAAAGTTTTTAACAGTTTTTTTGTTTTTTGTTATTTTGGGCAAAAGTGTGGGTTTTACTTTGAAATTGACGGAGACACGTGTGTGCCTACCCTACCAAATTTGCAAATTTATCTTTGCAAGTCCTACATTTTTACAAATTATTCCACAAATATTACGATTATTATTATTTTTCTAACTAACCCTGGTCTGCACTGGTCTGCCTTTGCTGTGTCTGACGTGCGTGTAATTTCCAATATCGTCCTGAAAAAGTAAAGATTTGATGATGGCCTTATTAAAAAAATAAAACAATGAACAATGCTATTTTTGGTGTATTTAGTATTGTCCATCTCTCTGAGGCCTATATGATCGAGCACTATTTGAAACACCGAAAGCAGACGAACTGTCTCAATTAGGTTAAATTAGAAGTGGCAACAGTTTGGGGTATTCAGAAAAGTGGTGTGGACGGAGATCCTCAGCATCCTTATTACTGACTTTTGAGATCCACATTAAAGAATTGAATAATAAACGGACTGGTTATTATATAGCGCTTTTCTATTCTCCTCGAGCATTCAAAGTGCTTTATTACAGCATTTAATAAAATTCACACACGCACCTTTTGCAACATCTAAGCGCTTTTTATCTAACATTCAAAAATATGAATGCATCACAGAGCAACTTGGGGTTCAGTATATGGCCCATGGATACTTTGGGATGCAGATTGGAGCAGTCAGGGATCGAACCGCCAACCTGCTAATAAGAAAATAACAAACTATCTCCCATCACCCTCCCCGAATGAGAAGACTGATGAAGAAGCTGCTGAACTTGGCATAAAGATTGAGAGAAATGGGAAACAGCTTGGTGGCGGCGGCGGTTGGCGTGTGTGCGTGCCTTGGCCTCTACAGTGAGGGTATCTTGTAGCTCTTTAGTGCTGTGGGGGACATTTTGCTGAGATGGTTTAGAGTTCAATAGTCTACCAAGAAGTAAAGTTATTCTTAATTAATACAAAATCTTTACCTTAATACTGTCATTAGCGTTTCCTTCTTGATTGGTGTTGGTTTCAGTGACAATAACAATGGCCTTATTTGTAGAGCACAGCTTTCATGAAAAGGATGTGAATCATATGCCATGGCATTTACTAAACTGATCACTAGCAGTTGTTAGAGCGGTAACTTTCTCGCCATATATTTGGATGAATGATGTTGAATCAGTTTCGCACAGATGCATGAACAGTTTCTGAAACACAATAAATGTGTCAAAGCGGGACAACAGTCTATATTGGTTTGCCCTTTGTCACTCTTCTTTAACTTTTTAAGTCTATAAACACTAGGCTCTGCACTTTTTCTATTTAAAATGGCAGGAAGTTTGAAAGCACGTTGTTTAATTCCACTCCTACAGTGAAAGCAGCCACATCCTCTTCCTCGTTCAGCTGACCCCGTCAGAAGAGATCATCTGCCTCCACCTCAACCTGTCCGCAGCATCCTCTTCTGTCACTCCAACACTCTACGTGTCCTGCTTCACTACATCCATAAATCTTCTTTTGGAAATCTCATTCATTGTGATCCACATGTTTGATTATTGCCAGGATTTTACACCAGATGGCCTTTTTCTTGATGCAACCCTTCCCATTTATCTGGGATTGGGACTGGCATTAGGGGTAACTGGCTTGTGACCGCTCCGGTTGCTGGGTTAAAGCAGTGTGCAGCAGTTATTTTAAAAGAATGCACCCCTACAAACTGAAACTATTATTGTGGTGTTGAAGTCTTAAAATAGCATATACCCTTTCACTGAGAAGGATTTTTTTTTTTGTTATGTTGAATTGATCTAAATCAATGACAGAAATGCTATTATTCCCATTCTCAGGCTGCTCTGGGGTCATTTTAATCCAGAAAGTCACTAAGCACAGCCAGTGGATTTATCATCTTGGGACAACCACTCAACCTGTTTCTGTGTTTTCAGCCTTAGCACTAAGTTAATCTGACAGCCAGTGATTGTCACACATTTACAAGAGCGGCATTGATCAGCTCAACAAACTCTAAACTTCAAATGGCAAAATATTCTGACGAGAATACAAACTACTTAAAATGTAAAAAGAAAAATCAATGAATTCTTCTTTGCACTAAAAGTACACATCGACTTTTATGTGAAGCTTGAAGATGAGTCAAAATGCAGCGCATTTACTTCAATGTATGTCGATTTACCGCAAACTAGCCAGTGCGCAGTGTGCCTGGAGACCCCAAAGGTTTGGAGCCTACTTGATAGCCCACCACCTCATCATGTTGCTGCTACTGTTGTTTCCCCACAAAGTCATTCGTTTAGTTTGACTTCAAACTGTTGTGGTTTCCTTGCAAAATATCCTATGTCGCTAACCTCGCTGCCTCATTCAAAGAGTAATGTACAGTGTGCTTGTGGTACTTACAGTGACTCAGCTCTCACACTTTGCAGCTTTATCTTCATCTCCTACACATTTGGGTTTTGATATTCCTGTAATAGGTGTTGGGACTTCTGAAATGTTTGTGACATTCAGTGCCAAGTTTGCACTGAGAATCTATAAAATTACTAGATTATCCTAGGGGGACATCTAGTGTCAGCTGTCATGAGTAATAGGACTATTTATTGTACATTTGTTCACATTACCTTCACTGTAGGCACAGGTGACGCAACAAGCAGGAGAATAACTAAGCAGATGAGAGAAGTGAAAATTTAGGCTGCCTCGGGAAACTTGAGCTGCTCCTGTGTTAGAGCACGCTCTGCATCTCTGACATGACATGACCTGGCATGCCCCAACATGATAAACATTGTGGTTTTCATGAAGTTTCAATGTTTTGGTATATGTCCCAAGTAAAACACCTGCTTAGCATAAACGAAACAGGTGTCCTATATCATCTGACTTGTTGCACACACAAACACGGAAGATGCTGGATGTGACAGCAAGATGAGAAGGCAGCTGACGGTGAACACCTGCCTGTGGGAAAGGGGGGGCCCTGCCACATGGTTTCACAATGAAGCGTCCGCCCTTGTGGGTACAGAAAGCACAACAAAACCAGACCAATCAAGGGTTTAAGACGACGCACTTGTAGACATTGTACCACCACTGCCAGGACTAACAAAGATGAGGTAAATGTCAAGTGATAACTATAAGTAACAGTGGTGAAAGATGATCTGTAACAGAAGCATATGTGCACATGGGGAAATCCATAACCAAAAGAACTGCGGCGGCACACATCAGATTCAGAGGGATGAGGGCTTTTTTTCTTTTTTGGACAAGCTGGGTATTTCGAGTTCAGCTCTCAGAAGAATGAGAAAAGCTCATGAAGAGCAGTGCGATCATCAGAAGCCTACACACATCCTTTTACATCCCCCACCCTGGAACATTTCTTCTGAAAGAAAAAGCAAACAGAGATTAAATGCTTTCTTGCGTGTATATAAGGTGAAAAGTTGAAAGCAAAAACACAAGTCAGACATATCACCTGCTCTTGAAGTCTTGACGGCATCGGAGGATCACAGAATAAAGGGGGATGGATGGTACTCACTTCTCACAGATGTGCTAACCACAACTGAAAATACCCCCCCACACACACTTTAATCATTAAAATACCCCCCTCTCTCCCCTCGATGTGTGCAAACTGCACTTGCTCTATAAAACCCAATATCTATTAAAATCTAAGGTCACCATAAGTGAAACCAGCCTTTAATCAAAGCTATGGCACAAAAATCAGACAGCGTGACACAAACTGTTTTTTTTTTTTGACTAATATGGAACTGCTGCATTAAATTTGAACTACATTTAGGACATGAGAGGTGATTCAAATTTGAACAATTCAAAACAATCGTTTACAGAAAGTGAGACGAGGCAACACGAAAAACAAAACTAGTTATAATAAACTGAATGTTGGTGTGTTCCAGATATGACCTGTGACATATTTCAGGTCAAATCTGACTAAAAAAAAATATCCAAACTAGTAAGACTAAAGTGAAAGTCCCTTCCACACATCTGACCACAGGATTTGAACTTTCAAGTACTGAACACAGAGAAGAAAGTTTGCCTGAGAGAAATCGGAATTAAATAGACAATAGTTTATTGTTAAAGATGAACGAACACACACACACACACACCTGACCTCTGCATCATGATCCTTCGAGTCGGGCAAGTCAGTAGCTTTCTTATTTGTGACACAATGTGGCAGTTATTCATCTACACACACGCGTACCCCCGGACACAAACACACAGCTTTAACATCATTTAATTTATAATCCACAAATTTATATTCTTTTGTCTCATAATTCTACATCACTAGTTACTTTAGTTATGTACACAGAATTGAGTCAGTTCTCTATTTCTTCGAGTTATTTTTCAATTCGAGGAAAGGGAGAAAAACAAATCAGCTCAAAAAAATATTTTTTTTAAATTTCCTGTCATTTCTACAGAAAAACATTTTCAGTTTCCTGGACTGTAAACTCCAAGCTGCTTGAACCAACAACAACTCACAACAGGCTCAATTTAACATTCCCTCCTCCTTTCTCGAATATGTTCATCTCCATCCTTTCTTCTTAGCCGACTGTCAAGGAGAAGCGTGACCAGGAGAGAGGATTTGGCACAAGGCATGAGTGTCATCTAAACCAGTAGTAATAGAAGAAGCGGTCCTTACAGCAGATCACATCCTGTAGTGCACAACAGTCCTGAGAGAAAGTTTAAATGGTTAACGGTGACGCAGTTTCAACTCTTTGAATCCCATGATTTTGCACCTTTTAGAGAATCACTCGAGTGCAAGTGTTCAGCATTACAAAGAAGGGAAACGGGGGGAGAAACATTTATTCCACCCTGTCATTTTGCTGTCCCTTCTTTAAACACCAGAGCTGATCTGTTTGGTCACTCGTCTCCCTCCAGGTCCAGGCTGGAAAGTCTTGGCTTTTTTCCCCTCCCTTTCTCCTTTCCTTCCTTTTAAGGATGTGGTAGGTTCATTCGGTCCTCTATTAGGGTGTTATCAGGGCCCTGTGCCTCCATGCACTGCTTTATGGTTTCTATAACTCCAGATAGACGCCTATCCAGGGCTGCAAGGTGTGGTTCAGCTAGGACTGGGTGAATGGGATCAAATGCCAGAGCCTGTCGCATGGCTGAGCTCAGAGCTCCACTTCGCAGCAGGTTTAATCTATTCCACGTGGACACACGAACCCTACCGAGAAAGGGAGAGACACTACAGTAGAAAAAAAACATAACCTGGTAAACAGGAAATTGTATTTGGGAATTCTCCGACTTACATGCAGCACTGGTAGAGTGGTGCAAGAATGCTTCGCTCGTCCAGAGCTGGGTTCCCGAAGCTGCACGAGGACATAAAAGAAAAATTACGAAAGATTAAAAAAAAACCCAGCATAAAGCACTTGAAACACACACACACACACGCACACACCTCGACTGAATTTGCTAGAATAGCAGTTTCCCTGTTTCTGAAGAGCTCCTGAGGAGTTATTAGATTCTCGGACAATCTAAAACCCGTAAAGCTTTCCAAACTAGAGTCTGGATCTGAGTCCAGCCATGTCCAAAACTAGCATGACCTTCAACAAACAGGAGCTGTATATTTTATATCTTTACATACAGTTAAATCATGTATTACAAGATCTAACTGTATCCCATTGTGAAAACTCTCCTGGCAATGTAGCTAAATGCATTCATTCCTATTCACACGACTTTTAAGACTGAGAGTGTCAGGCTCTTAAGCCCTTTTCTAATTAAATTTGATTGTAATACATACAGTAACGCAGTAATGTGAAAATAAATATACACAGTTTTTTCAGTTCCAAGGTTTTATGTACCAGGACATAATAAACAAAATCATCTGGTCTTTAAAAAGTTCTAAAATTAAATAAACTCAGATGAACAACAACACTTGACATATTACACTGTGTCATCATTTATGCAACAAAAACTAGGGCAGAATGCAGAAGAAGTGTGTGTCTTATTGAATTAAGAGAAATTATGAGGGCAAGCAGGTATGGAGCATTTAGGTGTGTGATGCCAAGGAGGAAAGACATCAAGAATGATTTTAGGAGAAATTGTTGCTTCCTGACAATCTGGCAAAGGTTTAAGGCCATCTGCAAACAATTTGAAACCCATCATTCTGCATTGAGAACGATTCATAAGTGGGAAATGTAATTTTTCATTTCAAGTTTATTTATATATCTCCAGTTTGCCACAGCATTTGTCGTGAGGGATTTTACACTGTGAGGTAAAGATGCTACAGTATAAGAGAAAAACCTCAAAAAGGAAAAACTCCACTTTAACAGGAAGAAACCTCCAGCAGAACCAGGCTCAGGGAGAAGCCACCATCTGCTGCAACTGGTTGCGGCCGATCATTGGAAAGAAAAAAAAGATCACAGGGAACTAGGACAAAATACTAAACAAAATATGTGTTTCAGAAACAGGGGTGGGCGTCGCAGCAAACTGCAAACAACACAAGTGTTACATCTCATAATCTACAGGCCTCAATTAGTGTGTTACATGTAAATGTAACTTAATGAGATATTTACCCATAATGCACAAAACCACGTTTGTTGAAAATCAAGCATAGCATATGAGAACAAACACCTCATAGCAACTGACAGCACAGTGTTGGAGGGGTAATGACAGGAAATGGGGAACTAGCAGTAACTGGTATACAAAGGAGTTCATGCTTGACTCAAAGTATTGTAGAGTCAAAGGTGAAGCCATCCGTCCAACAGCTAACGCTTGGCCTAAACTGGGTCATGCAACACAACGAGCAGAACAGCAGCAACTCTACAACACAATGGCCGAAAATTCAAAGAATCAGAGTGTTGCAGTAACCAAAAAATCCAGACCTCTAACTGAAAGGCCAGTTGGGCTTAAATGAATGCATTTAAACCTCAATAAACTCAGTCAATGTGGTAAGCGAGTGGGCTCAAATTCCTGCATGATGAGGTGAGAGGCTGATAAAGTCATACAGAAAACTACTTGCCGCTAGAAGTGGTTCTACCAGCTAATGAATGATGGCATGCACAGAGTTTTTTAAACATGGTTTCTGGACTTTAGCTTAGCTTTTGTGAAATAATTAAATAAATAAATAGATAAATAAATAAATGAATGAATGAATAAATGAAAAAATAAATGGCACGCGGTAATATGCCATGTGTTGTTGAAAGAAGGTGTAGTTTGTTTTGATCATGTTGGTAAGAACTAAAATGAATTCCACACTTAGCCTTACCAATGCTAGTCAGCTATATGACAGAGAGCAAGAATCCATTGCTTCCAGCTTAATCTGAAAGAGTTCTAATAAAAATCCAAGAATTGGGCCATTATTGGCCTGCAAAGAGTACCAGCTGCAGGGTATTTTCACTGCATAGAAAATATAGATTATACTCTTCATTAAAAAAAGGAAAGACAAGAAATTACTCAGCACTTCTATTGGTATACATTATTCCCAGTAAAAGTTTTGTTTCTTACCACACTTAACCTCATCCTGCCAATACTGAAAAATGCTGCTTAGAAATTTTCCACTGCTGGGTTTTGATCAGCAAAAACAAAAATAACTTCAAAGACGGGTTAACATCTCAAAGTCCTCACTTCATGGAAGTGGGTGTTCTTCATGAGTCAGTTATAAAGTAGCTTCAATAGTGATAAGTGAATTCTTGTAATAAAAAAAGAAATAAAATAAAAGACGAGCACCGGAAAATGTAAAAAAAAAAAACAACAAAAAAAAACAACAACCTGAAAATGAAAATATAATTATTAGTCTGAAAAATCAGAATCAGAATCAGAATCAGAATACTTTATTGATCCCTGGGGGAAATTATTTTTTGTTACAGTGCTCCATTTTAAACCAACAAATATTCAGACTATTGTTATGAACAGAGTGCAGAATTTTCCAGTAAGTCCGTGACACTGATTTATTTCAAAAGTTATTGTTTCTGACAGAATTAGCTGCAATTTTACACAAGATTTCTGGTTAAACTTGCAGTTTTTCTTTACTGGATGGACAGTATTCCCACTTAAGTTTGGAAATGGTTAAGTAATTAAAGCCAGTAAGAAAAAGTAAACATTCATCTGAGGAGGGAAAGTCCCATTTTGGATTCCCGTTTTCATGAAGAGCACCCCCCCTCCCCCCACCTAACTATCAAAAACAAAAAAAACCACGAAACCCACAGCTCACCTCTTGGCGTTGTCAAGAAGGATAAGCATGCTGGCACCTCCATCGTCCTGGAAACTTTCGTAGTGATGACGATCAGCATTTCCAATAAGGTAATCAAAAATCGCCGTGTCAATAACATCTAGCAGCCTTGGCCCTGCATCATATGGGGGCATCTTCTTCACTGCCTCACAGTAGCTCTCGTCATACTCCCACCTGAAAAATAAACACACGTTCAAATCGTCTGAAGTAAGATTTTCGCACATCACCATATTGTCAAACAGGGAGCGTGCATAACCACGCCCCTCACACAGGAAAAGAAAAGAAAAACCACTTCAGGTCATTTCAGGGTTTTAGAAAGCCAGAATTATTAAAAAGTAAAAAGATCCTAAAAATAAGACCAGGTTGCTTCTCTTACTGCTGTTAATTTGCTCACTAATACAGCATCGCAGCGCCAGACGTTCTCTGGTAAAGTGAAACATTTAACAACACTTACACTTAAGAAAATGCATGTGTCAAAGTGTAGAGTTAATTTGCTGAAATGCAATCAAACTTCTGGTATTGATGGCAACACAATCCCTTATTTTCAGTGGCCTTCACACAATATTTTGAGACCAGTGAGAATAGAATAGAATAGAATAATCCTTTAATTGTCCCACAAGGGGAAATTTGGTTGTAACAGCAGCCAAAAAGACACATATACAAACAAAGTACACAGGACACGGAACAGAAACATACACAACTTTTCTTACATATTTACATTAAGGACAATGGTTACAAGTGACCTATCATAATGAAAGCCAACTCCCTTGTTTTGGTTCCCTTTGGTCAATGACTCTCAAAATGTGGGGATGCCCCCATGAGTGGAGCAAAAACGACTCATGGGGGCACAGATGACCATGGTGGGAAAAAAGGAGAGTGAAACCAAACTTTATAATTTCCTTCAATATACGAGTCATGTGTTGTTACTGGCATGTGGAACTTTATTTCACTAAAAGTTCCACATGCCAAAAGTTCCACATCCAAGTTGGATCCTCTTTTATTGTTAATAATTGACAAAAAAGGACAGTGCAATCTATTTTGTTTCATGGTAAGATACAGTAGTTGAAGTGGAGAGATTTCTAGCAAGTCTGTAGCACTGATTTAATTTTCAGGTTAATGTTTCCATCAGAATTTGTTGCAAATTTCATACAACTGCAAGTTAAACTGAAAAACTGAAAACGGTTCCCCACTTCAATCTGGAAAACCCCACTGGTGTGGAATAAAGCTGCTGCAGGTGGGACATGAGTGACCACTGGGTGGAAAAACTGACAACTGACAACAAACTGACAAACTAAGTCAAATGAATATGATTTTTCTTTTGAAAGTGCAACTAAACAGTTTTCAAATGTAATCATTCTGCAACTTTACATCACTAGAACTCAACTAGCATTTTTTATTTTTGGGGGATAATGATAAAATGTGGTTGGGATCCAATGGATGGCATGCCAGAAGAAGTTTGAGGACCATTCTTCCCATTTGACATCGCATTGTCAATATTACAGTAATAGAATAAACTGAGATAAACTGAAACAGGAGGAATAATGGGTCTAACTTGAATTTAGTAATAAAACACAGACACAGTGCAGTGTAAAATTCTTGAGTGAACCCTCATTTCTTTTTACTTGAATTTGAAAAGGCTACAAACTACAAGCTGAACGACTGTTGTGTCCACGCTGCACAGAAGACAACTTAGAATATCAAACTGGTTCTTTGCTATTTTTAGGCACTTTGTTGCTAGCAGCCTGTCATGTCTTTCCGAGCAGACATATACAATCATATTTTAATCCACCACACAATACTCTCTGGAATGTGTCTGTCTGGCAAAAGCTATGCAAAAATAATCATCTTGAAAGAGAACAGAGCAAATAGCATCAAACGTCCAAAGAATAGCTTTCAATGTCCTTCAAGAAGCCTGGAGAACTATTCATGAAGACTGCTTAAAGAAACTGACTTTCAAGGTCATTAGAACTGTACAAATTGTGTGTGTGTGTGTTTGTGCGCACGCACAAAAGCTCAAGACTTTTGCACATGAGTATAAGGCTGCTAAGTGTGAAGAACAGATCACATAGCTACTCTTCTGATCCAGCTGTATGGTGATCTAACGGCAGGATGACACTGATCAGTTGTGTTTAGCATCATAATTAGCTTGCTGATGTAATCTTCTCTGACTGTAGAAATCCTGTGTGCTGTATTTAGAGTTAATAAACATTTATGAGCAATAAGAATACTTACTTATCAACTAGTCTAATTTTCCCCTACAGTTCTCCATACAGAGGTTCAAAAATACCAAGTACTTTCATTGCCAGTTGAAGCTTGTTCACTCATTTTTTCACACCAGATTAAGTACACCAAAGCTCTGGAGTTGAGCTTGTTTTTGGTATCATTTTGCTGGGTGAAGGGCCAAAAAGAGATAAGCAAAATGTGAAGGAGGCCATCATTAGGTTGAAAAGGTAAAATAAATTTCTGTCTATTCTAGAGCAAAAATGTGCAAGTTTACAAACAATGATCATAAACAAGTGATTAATGAAAGCACTGCTCACCAACACCAAAAAGCCTTAGAAAACACAGAAAACAACTAAAATGTACAACTGCAGAATTTTTTCCTTTTGTTAAGAAAACCCCCCAGTCAAGAACACTCTCGAGGAGGCAGGCGTATCATTGTTAAAATCTTCACTCAAGAGATGCTTTCATGAATGGAAACACCGAGGGTTTACGAGAAAGTGTAAACAACTCTACATTTTGCCAGCACAGCTCTGAAAAAAAAAAAAAAAATTATATATATATATATTATATATATATATATATATATATATAAAACATTTTAAAAACAATCTTTGGATAGATGAAACCAAGTTTAACTTGTAACAGAAAAATTGGAAGATAAAAGTATGGAGAAGGAAAAGAACAGCTCATGATACAAAACTATCACATCATCTGTCGAACATGGTGGAGGCATGTGATGGTATGGGCATGCGTGACCCCTAGTGTTAATTGATGATGTGACTGCTGAGAGCAATAGCAGGATGCATTTGGAAGTGTGCAAAGCTATACTCTCTGCCCAGAGTCAGCTAATTGTTCCAAAACTAGTTAAATAACACGTCCCAGGACAAACAAATAATGACGCAAACATACTGGAAAAGCAGAATCAAAGAAATTTGATATTCCTCAATGGCCAAATCTGTCACCTGATTTCATGCAACACATCATGCTTTTTAGTAACTGAAGACATAATTTAAGGCAGATAGACTCACAAACAAGCAGCAACTGAACATTTTACTATTTAATATGTTGGCAGCAACAACAACATCAAAACACAAGAATGAATTCAAGTCAGAGGATTTCCCCTAACTGTAAAAACCGCTGCTTTTTGGGACTCACGCTTGACACCCACCTTGCCAGTTTCCCCTCTCTGTATGTGCGTCCCCAAGGGTGTCTGTGTTTCTGCAGTGGCCAGACATCTGGCAGCCAAAGGGTTAATGACCCCTCCATGATTTCCCCCTCTGCACATGCTGGCTCACTCTCCCGACAGTAGTAACACTTCCCATAGAAACATGTATTATTGCCTGGGGACACAGGGAAAAAAATTAAACCGATAAAAACAAATCAGCTTGGCATCAGTGACACAAGAGATGCAAACAAAGAGGTAAAAACTAGCACAATGGTGGAAGGAGGGTGGGTGGGGGACAAAATGCTTAGGTTAATTGGGTTAGTTCTTATGAAGTGTGAGCACGCACACACACAGATTAATCAAACAACCTTATCCTGTGCTTTCAGATACAAAGACCTCAGTGACATTTGACAAAGCAGTTTTGCTTAGGGCCAAACCATCAAAACATCCCTGAAACTGCAGCGCTAGCACCTTCAGGCACTAAAATAAACCATGAACAAGTGAAACAGGGTTTCGCTGCTAAGATCTCATACAGATCATGACCCTAAAGTTCCAAATACAACGATGAGACCAAACACTTTCTGTTTTTACTGGAAAAAGATGCGCTGAAGTGCAGTCTCACCTTGAATTCAGCAGTTATAACAAAAGTATTGCTTTAGAATTTTTAAAATTAACTGGATAGACAAACATTATTTTTATATAAAGATTGTTTTTATTATTTGGAGAAAAAAATCCATTGCAGTCAGTGTCTATCTTAAGTCTAAAACCCATGGACATCAACAAATGCTGTTTCTCATGCCTTGAGATGCTCAGTGAAGTTTTTACTGCAGCTTCCTTCAGATGCTGCTGGTTGTTGGTCTCTCTGGATTTGTCTTCATCAACTGAAAAGCATGCACTATTGGGGTGGTATCAAGTGACTAATCTGACCATTGCACATGATCCCGTTTCTTTTTCATAAACTGTTGGGTTGCTCTGTTTAGTTTTGTAGCATTTATCTGGATCTGAGCAGAGAGTATAAACCTGTATACTTCAAATGTCATCTTACTGCTTCTATCACCATCCTCATGAAGAAAGATTTGTTGTCTGGATCCATACATGCAAACATGCGTGCTCTTTCTGTAACATTGCTATGTTTGACGATACTTTCAATTATTTGAAGATTTACCTGAAGGCAGAGAGATCCACAAACAAGCAGATAGATCTTTTCAGATGTTTTCTGGCCAAGTTTAATCTGATCTGTCCTTCTTTTTATTGAGTATCAAAGGAGATTTTTCTTAACCAAGGAAATCATGTCCTTATCCGCTTCAATTGTCTTCTGTGGTTTTCGAGCCTTTCGGTAGTTGCTAGCTGGCTAGTACATTCATTCTTTTTAAGAACATAGGAATGGCCAAATCAACAATCAGTTAACATTTTTTGATATCTTCATGATAGCAGAAATTTCGTTGGGCTGCAGACAATCCCAGAAAGAAAGATACCAAATGCCAATTCAACAACAACTACTAGAATCAACTCCAGACCTTTTATCAGTCACATTTGTAGTAAATCTCACATGGCCATGAAACGTTTTTTCAGTCAACGGTCCAATTACTTTTAAGCCTCTGAAAATGGGGACCTGAGCAGTTAATGCAGTACTTTGTTAACTGCTTGAATTAAAGTAAAAAAAAAAAAAAAAAAAAAAAAATCACATCTTGTTATCTCTTTCTGATCCTGGTCCTGCCGGAGGTTTCTTCCTGTTAAAAAGGAGGGTTTTTTCCCCTACTGTCGAACCTCTGTTTTCTTTGTATTATTGGTGGGTCTTTACCTTACAAAATACAGGCAACAGTTGTTGTGACTTGGCACTATATAAATAAAAATGAAAATTGAATATATCATGAATGTAAACATAGGAAGCCTGCAAGCCAGAAAAGGCTTACTACCTCAACCCACTGGATGGCTCTGCATAATGAAAAAAACTAACAGAAGAAACATCATGTTACCACCAAGGAGGTGTACTGATGTCTTTCTTTGTGATGACAGTATACTGAATGAATGTAGAAAGAAAATTACAGGCATGTTCTGTAAAATCTCTTAACCTGTTCTTACCCATTTTATAAACAGACAATTCAATAAATGTATATGATTTCATAATATAGCTGTGCTTTTTTCAGTACCAAAAAAAACAAACAAAATGTGTTGTTCTTTTTCTAACTTCGCTCGGTATTTCACTATGGGAATCGCCTCGGCGTGACCAACTACGGAAGCTCCAATGACACCACGTCTGTCTATGACAGACCTGTCGAGCCGTGCTCAGGGCTCCGCCCCCTCATCCCCTCCTCCTAACTCATTCTCGCTTTCTTCCCATGAGAAACTACTTTGAGCTCCCTCATCGCATCCAGGCTAACTTGATTAGCTGCTTAACAGTTCTCAGGCGTCCCGTGTAGGAGTACGTTGCCGAACGCAGTTTTTCCGGTTCCAGTTTGGATCGTGCTGAGTAAGTCCTTCGAAAGAAGTGTACTTAGAGTTGCACTGTGGAACAGCAACCGCGTCAGGCGAGCTGTCCCAACGGTTCCTGGTTTCAGGTAGCGAGGTAGCCGACGTTGTGTGACTCGGGCTAACGCGTTACGGCGAGCTGTTCGTTCAGTGTCCGGCTAGCATTAACTTGTTAGCAGGCCACGAACCACATTAGCGTCTCACTAGCATTAGCTTGTTGGTCGACCTAGGGTTCGGTTAGCATTAAGTTACTAACGGAAAAAAGTTGCATTTGAAGTTGCACCCCCGGTGGACAGCAATTTGTACGAGGTCTGCAAATGGGCTGCTGCCAAGCTAGGCATCCCATGGCCAGCCGCCCAGGATTCCGAAGGGGCAGAACGCGACATGTATGACGGCAAAAGGCTCCCACCAGCCTTGCCACCACCGAAGCAGCTTCTGCCAGCAGTCCCGGCCTGCATGAAAGAAATGAGTCGCTATTGGTCAAGCCCTTTTAAAAACAAGCTTCCGACCAAGGGCTGCTCTAAGCTTGAGATCCAGGGGATGGGTGAACTGGGGCTGACCGAACCCCCAGCAGTGGAGCCTTCAGTGGCGTATCACCTTCACCCTAACCGCAGGGCAATCTCAGCTTCTTCTAGCATTTCATTGCCCAATAAGATAGATCGCCTCAGGGCATCTATTTATCAAAGGATGTACAAATATGCTGCCAGTCAGTATGCTCGCTTAATGCAGTCACACTGCTATCAGCATATCAGGCAGAAATTCTGGAAGACATGGGCCGTCAGCTTGACTCGGGTTCCCCGAACCCAGCCCTCTGGGATGAAATCTGCGTGGTTAATGATCTCATTCGCAGTCCAAGGGTGTGGCCGTGTTATGGGCCTTGCAGTCTCGGGTGAGAGAGCCTTGTGGCTAAACCTGTCAGGCCTAGGTGATGCTCAGAAGGCTGAGGTCATGGATGCAGCTTATGACCCAACCAAGGGTCTCTTTGGCCCAGCCCTGGAGAGAATGAGAGAAACAAGCACTCGCAGAAAGCAGGAGGGAGAAGCATTCAACCTCTGCTTACCCAGAAAACCTAACTCTCAGCCCCAGCAGGTGCCAAGAGCTGGCTTTGCAGCAACAGCTGTGAGAGGGAGACAGAGTGGGGTCAGAATGCAGAGAGGAGCAGGAGACCAGCAGGGTGCCCACCAGGCCAAGGTAGAGAACCAAAGACTTTGGGGCAAGCATTCCTTTGCAGCAGCTGCTGCAAAGAACAAGCCGTCACACCCCGGAGAGGGGAAAAAGAAGCGGTCAGCCTAGCACATCTGCAACATTCTGTGTCACCCCTCTCTTCTCCCCCAAAGAGAAGGAAGGTGTTAGAAGGGGTAACCAAATCACTCCAAGGTTCAGGGTCTCCGGAAGTTTCCAGTTCACCAGGAGCACCCTCTCAGTCTCCTCCTCCAGTTCAGGAAGGACAGACTTGTGGACAAATGGCGCAGCGTCACCAAGCACTCCTAAGCACTCTGTCTGTGTTACCAAGCACTGCCCAGAGTCACCAGACACTTCACTGTGGTTTGGGGGTAACAAAAGAAATAAAACGCGCATTTCTGCAGCCAGGCAGTTTGCCAAGGGCAGAATGTTCCCCCAGTTTCAAAATAAAAACAAAAGGAAATCACTGCCATTCGTCTTTGTTCCCAGCGGGGGGAGCTCACGCTCTTCCCGAGGGGGAGAGCCCCAACTCCTTCCGGGAAACAGGGGTGACGTCATGCGTGGTTCATCCCTGGGTCTTGTCAACCATTTCCCATGTAACAGACTACAGTTTGCGGTAAAACCACCGAGATTCAGCGGAGTGTTAGCTTCTGTGGCCAGTGGCGATTCAGCAAATGTGCTGGAGGAGGAAACAGGCGATCAGAGCGGTTCCGAGTGAAGAAGCTCAGCAGGGCTTTTACTTACACTATTTCCTCATCCCGAAAAAGGACGGAACGTCGCTCCGTCCTATTCTGGATCTGCGTGTGTTAAACAAGCATTTGAGAAAGTACATGTTGGGTTTAGATTTTATTATTGTCATTTGTATTAGGAAACATTTAACCATATATGCTTAGAGGTGTATAATCAATTGTGTAGTGATAAGTTGTGTGATCTTTAACAGGCTACAGAGGCTTGGTGTGTATCCACAGATGCACCCCTGTCAGGTTGGGGTGCAACTATGACGGGCAGAGCAGTGAATGGCGTTTGGTCACAGAGACTCGCTCTGAATCACATAAATGTGCTGGAGCTCCGTGCGGTGCTCCTAGCCTTACGGCATTTTCTGCCGTATCTCCGGGGACAACATATTTTAGTGAAAACAGACAACTCCACTGTAGTTGCTTATATCAACCGCCAGGGAGGCACCCATTCCCAGCAGCTACACAGGTTAGCCAGGGAAATAATTGTGTGGAGCAGCACTTGGCTGCCAGGAATTCTGAACAGGGGGGCGGACCTCCTGTCCAGAGGAAATCCACTGTTCGGAGAATGGAGGCTTCACGCACAGGTGGTGGAGCAGATTTGGCAGAGATACGGCCGGGCTGCCGTAGATCTCTTTGCCTCGCGAGAAAACACACAGTGCCCTCTGTTTTTCTCCCTGTCAGACGCAGATGCGCCACTGGGCGTGGATGCACTGGCCCATCCATGGCCAAAAACTCTGCTGTATGCTTTCCCTCCCCTCAGCCCGATCTCCCCAACACTGATCAGAGT